GATGAGATATTATGGCCCTGCCCTTCCTCCAACTTCCTCTTTCTGCCCTTTTCCTTCTGCCGACCACATCTTTAGTCATTCTGTTGCCAAAACTGATTAACATCTACATCTGCTATATTATCATCATTTTCTTTATCTTGTTTTCAGATTGACTTTAAAAGTTGAAAGGCAAAATTGCAGAGCCAAGAAGTGAGTTGGAGTGAGCTAGACTTGCGTCTCTTTCTCTCCAGTCGTTATCCACGTGCCACTCAAAAGACAAGGCTCCCAGCTTTGTGGTCAGATGAATCCCCTTTACGTACTACCAGTTCCAGATTTTGCTACCTCTTAGTTGGTTTTGTGTTTGGATTGTGACTTTGTTACAGAGTCGCTTATTTCTCTTGAATTCTCTGGTTGAGCTTTTGGTTTCTTGTAAAAAGCAGCTCTGCTGTCTTCATGATATCACTGATACCTTGCAACTTCTTATTTATTCTTTCCAGTGCATGGAATTGATCATTTTTCTACTTGAAAATATTAATTTTTGGAGTCCAGGGGATTTTAATTTTTAGTGGACTGGTTGCTTTTTAAACTTGCTACCAATTCCAGATGTCATCTCGGAATTTCAGATCATTTTAGGTAGCTGGTGTAGGTAGGACTCCTGTGCAGCTAGGCAATAGATCTGTTTACCTCAAGGCCTCTCCCCTGGAAGACAGTCTTCCTCAGAGCTCTGTGTGTGAAGCTGGCTGTCAGACATGGGACCCTGATGACCTGATGCATGGGACAGGGATGTTCAGAGAGAAGCCTCAGCTTTCCTTTCGGGAGTCCTTCAGTTATTTTTACAAAGAAGCCCTGTCTTGTTGTCTTTGGACTCAACTCTGGCTTGTCTGTTCCTCTTTTCTAGGGAAAGACCAGGTGCGGGTTTGAGAAGCAGGATGCCTTAATATATAATTTTACTCTCCATTTTCAGGTCCCCTTCTCAGTCTCTGGGGTTCTGCTTGACCAGCTGTCTCTTCTTTGTTCTTCAGTAGACCCTTCAACACACATCTTCTGGATCTCCTTTTCCCTATCCTCTTCCCTTTGTCAGCACATTGCCATCCAGTTTCCGTTTTCCAGAAATGGGTTTAAATCATTTGACTGCTGGTAGGCCCCTCTTCCATTCTTTTAACTCTTATCCTTTAGTATTTCATGTTAATGGGGTCTCAGAAGGGAAAGAAGACAAATTCATGTCTGCAGTCCACCACATTGAACTGGAAGCCTCCAAGGATTTTATTTTCTTCTTTCTTCTTTTTTTTTTAAGAAAAATATAGAAATTTCCTAACAACACTGGCTCATTTTTAAGTGCAAAACTTTAAAATGTTAGGTGATAGGATTTATTGTAAAAAGTAGCCAGTCTGCCTGGTAACAAGTACTATTAATTCCACACAGTATCTGTCAGTTGTTCCATGGCTCTCATTAAGTAAAACAGATGTTTGAATGTCTGGTCTCAGTTAATTTGCTAATAACATGTTAAAGTTCATCATGATAAACTGTTGACTATTCTAGTTTGGCGCCAAATGTCAAATATTTTAAAAAAAAAGAACCTTGAGGATTTAGTTTTTGACAGTTTAGTACTTCATACAAATTTTAAATTACCTTGGATTGATGATTAGCTCTTTGACAACCAAGGGTTGAAGACTTGTGGACGGGTGAGAGTGACGCGTGGGAAGGTCACACTGTGCTGGAATTCATTTCTCGCAGGTGGAAGAAATTCTGAGTCTAATGACCTGCACTGTTCCTTTTTTCTAGGAAAATCAGAAAGTCAAGAAAGATCTTTTAGAAGCACAGACAAACATAGCCTTTCTTCAAAGTGAATTAGATTCTTTGAAAAGTGATTATGCTGACCAGAGTCTGAATTCTGAGAGGTATGAAACTTCACACTTCACTATTTAGTTTGAGTGGCGTGTTTATTAGGTAACCATCCATGTGAATGAAGCTCAGCTATGTAATAATAAAGGGCTGTTTATTAATTTTACTAATGTGTTCTTTGCTTTCTAAAGATTTTTAGTGTCAGATTTCCTAGTGATTTTTGTGTTTTTACTTTTTTAAACAAATGGATTAATTAGTTTAATTATTGGCTGTGCAGGACAGTGAGGGCTTAAAAATGTCTGCATTAACTGGGAGCAGAAGACTATACATAAAGTGTCAAGAGGCCATGCTAACTGAAGTGCTTTGAAGGTGGGAATCCTAGCCCTATAACATAAAAAAATGGAAAACTACAAGTCTTCGGCAAGTCGTTCTATTTTGCTATGCTTTAGTTTTGCAAATAACATAAAACCTAACACACACATGTACACAAAGAGGTATGTAATTATATATAAGAAAGATATACATGGATATTTATATAGGACTATGTAAACATAAAATGCGTTAGTATGTGTGTGTATCCCCTAGTACATGTACAGTTGGGGGAAAATACCTTGTGATTTGTTTGCAAACTTTAATCAGAATTAAGGTCCTGTTAAAAAAAAATGTAGTGTAATAGAAAGCAGTAAAACATTTATTAAGCACCTACTATACATAGGTCCCTGAGCTAGATAAGGAGTTATGAGTGTGCAGTATATAAAAAAGAAGAAGATGTGGTCTCTGCTCTTTAAGAATTTCAATTTGTGGGAAAAATAAAGTCTAAAA